ATGTCCAGTCAACAGCCAGACTCAGCAGTATCGAGACTCTTCTCCACTCCTGATCAACCACATCAGTTGCTTTACTATTTCCTTTACTACAGCTGCTAATAAGGTCATATTTGAAGTTGAGAATCTGGTTAGACTTTGATATCTTGGCTCTATCTTTTAATCTTTTCTTGTCTTCATAGAGTTGTGGTTTGTTTACATGCCAACCTCTTTTTATATGAGTATTTACATCCCATTACAAAGGCTCCTGGAACTTATCATGTTGTATCTTTGACCTATATATACTGACAGTTCTTTGAGTACTTATTTTTTTTAGTTCTGAATTAGAAACAGACATCTGGTTATGAATCATGTAGATGCAATTAGTTCTCATGTCTGTCACTCTTGCCCGACTGGGAAGTATGTTTCAATTTCAATTAAAACTAAAAGTTAACACAGTCAAAGATGGAATAATAGAACATGACAAATGGGACTTTAAATTGTAAAATATTTCTTGAGTGCAGTTAGGGATGTATTTACAACTAAATTGAACTTTTAATGATTCATTGGAAAGATATCTGGACATTCTGAAAGAACTGAACATATACTGCATACTTATAAATATATATATAGTGGTATAATTATAATTTTGGTATATTTAAAATATACAAATATTAAAATCATTCTATTAGACATAAACAATGATAATATGGTATATAGCCATTTAAAATGGTAACACATATCTTTATTTATAGAAAAAGCTCAGCAACCATCTATTCCTGAATTTTAATGGCACAATGACATTTTTACAGGTATTATGTTTATGAACATGCACTCATATGTACATACTATTAATTTATAGAGATATAACCATTGTCAATTAAATGTTAGCAGCATTTTATAAGCCTTTATTTCTCTACTTGACACTGTCTTATTTTCATATCCAAAATAAAGATGGAGATCCTTTCCTTTGGAAAGTAGGGAAGAAAAGTAATTAGAAGTTTTAAAGCCCAATAAATTAGTCATTTTCTTTATTTGTAAAATCCGTGTTTGTATACAGTACACTCAATGAGAGATATAGCAATAGTCATAGCATTTTGTAGGTTATATAAATACAGGGAATATTTTGAGTTGCTGACACAGCATGGTGAACAACATCAAGCTGGAACAATGAGGCATTCTATCTTTTCCTTTCAGTTTTTCTGCTGTGTCTCAATGTCCATTTCATAGTCCCTTCATGTCCTTGTAGTCTTGATGTTAAGGTAATTTGCTCTTTGTTAGTGATTTGGATGTATGTGGTTCTTGATATCTGATAGAGTGAAAAGAGGCAGTGAATTGCTTTACATAGTGTACATATCAGATAGCACTACTGTATGTGAATTAGACAATAATTAATAGATCCTATATGTTAAAGTGTGTGTGGGTAAAGAAATGTACCAATGATACAACTCATGTGAACAATAAACAAAAATATGACAGTCAGAGTATTACAGGAACTAAACCGTATAACGTAACCCCTGACATTAACTCCCTCAGAACAGACAGTATTTGTTGATCAACACTGAAATATTCATACATGGGAAATTCTTCAGAATGAAGTGCTAGATATGACTTTTGTGATCTTAAAAGGTTATCAATGCCAATTTAGCTTGTGTATGTAAACTTTGTCAAGTTTACTTAATTATGAAATTAAGGATGACACAGTGCTCAGGAGAAATCCGCATCACTGAATCATACATTACTGTGTAACTATGTGTATATAAACAATAAAAACAAACTGTACTGACTTGTCATTTCTTTAGGCATTTTGCCTCTCTGAAATTATTTCCTCCTCTGTAGATAGTTACAATGGTTCTTTTCTCTGAAGATTGAGTATTATAGATGTGACAACTTGTGTCACTATTTAATGCCAAGTTCATCTTAAGCTATACTCCCTAATACTGTCATTGTATACTGGTGAATGTTTAACACTAAATTCAAAACAATTGCTGCACTTCTACAGTTTTTCTTTGTTGTAAACCCTGATACCCAGTATATCATGTAGATGATGAAAAAGTTGGATTTCTGAAAATCTTCCTTTGATATTGCTTTGATGATTTGTTAGGTCAATTTTGGTTTTGATTATGATTTTCTCCTTGTGTTCAGTCTTCAAATTTTCTGGTTTGACTTGTTGCTTTTGGGTGTATCCTTCTGAAAGAGCAATTTTGACAGATGACAAATGTGCCTGAAAGCAGAGAAGTGGAAAATAATGAACCAACTCTTAGGAGTTCCTTCAGATGAAACTGTAAATGTAGTTAAAACAAGGATCCATTTCCTACTTATCATTCCTGGGAGAATGGCTTGTGAGGTACAACATCTGTCTGCACTCCTCCTAACTGCTGAGTTCTGGAAACCTAAAGCCAAATCTAGAGGCAAGGAGCAGTATTTATGTTTTATATAGTTTAAGGTGGCATAAGAAAAAAGCACATGCAGAATTTTTTCTCATCGATGACTCTTAATTACCTTACAGGAACTCTGTGTTTAGAATGTAACATTTGATAATGTATCATATGTATAGTGATATCACATGTACAGTGATATTTCCATCCAGGCCTAATAGTTTCCCTGAACATGTAAAGATTACATTATGTTTTTTATATAGAAAAAGGAGAAATAAAAAAATCTAACTGCCTTAAAGTAAAGCACACACACACACACACACACACACAAACATACACACTCACACAAACAGTAAGGTTGAGCACTCTGAACACAATGTTGACATTTATAAACACTCTTTTGGCATTTGTAAACTGTCAGATAATTAATCAGTGACATGCAGAACAATGGTATTTTTTCCCAATTCATATGAATAAAGATTCCTCAGGACATTCTTATTTGTAAATGGTAAAAGGAAGTAGGTTTTGTCATTATTTTTGTTTTTTGTTTGTTTGTTGATAGGTGAATGTCTTAACCTCTTTTGAGAAATCGAATTTAGAAAGATTCTGAAAATTTATAAGACAGGAATTTAAACTTCACCAATACAGTAGTACCTGCGAGCTGGGGAGGTGGTTCATAAAGTGAGGGTGCTTGATGTTTGCAGAGATTCCAAGGAATGGAATGGGAGCTTAGCACCCATACTACTAGGCTCACAATGAATTATAATTCCAGCTGCAGAGAATCCAACCACTGAGGGTTGGTATACACACACACACACACACACACGCACACGAAAATATATACACAAAGGTATATGCATATATAGACACAATAAATAAAACAAAGCTAATTCATTTTTTAGGAAAAAAAAGACAATAGATCCACAGATGTCAACGAAAGGGTCTTGAAAGGGACATGTATGTACATTTCTATGAGACAGAGCATGTATATGAACATATCTATATTTTTGCACTTTCACTTCATGTTGCTGTAATGACACAGTAGCTGAGAAACAGAGTCTATTATCAAAAGAAATTGAAGACTTCAGAGATAAATACCTTTCTTTCTAATGCAATGATTGATAAAATTTCACCATAAATTATTGAATGTTTACTTATTGATTACTGATTAGTGTTTTTTCTGTGCCATTCAGTGTTATTGGTACCTGGGACATATGGTAAGTGACAAGAATTAGAGAGAACAGAGTGTAACATAAAAACAGTATATTTGGTCACAAACATCAGGTAACATGTAAGATCAAGAACTACATGGAGTTTGCAGTAAGGGCAAAAGGAGGGCCAACTCACATCTGAAGGTTTGGGCTGTGCAGCTTGCCCTCTGTTTAAAAGTTAAGAAACTTCTAGCTAGGTTAAAAACATGACAAGCATCAAAAATGTACCTTCTGGCCATCAGCCTCAAGTGTGTACTAAACAAAGATCTTCTGAACTGTATAAATACTTTAAAAGATAATTGTTGTAATAGGTATTTAATCTTAACTCTGGGTTTCTATCCCACCTTTGATCATTTAATTCCAAGATAAAAAGCACACAACCTTTAGATTTACAACAAGCCTTAATCAGCACTAGAGCTAGTCAGTTATCTATCTACCCTCTAAGCTATTAGAATTTAGTTCCCTATCAATTGCCCCAAATTATAACTTGCAATGTTCCATCTTGGCAGCTCTTAACTCCAATTGGCCAGCCCACACAGCCATACTTTATGACTCACCTAACCCACAGTGTCTCTGTCTCTCTCTGTCTGTTTGTCTGTCTGTCTGTCTCTGTCTGTCTTTGGCTGTCTCTCTCTCTCTCTCTCTCTCTCTCTCTCTCTCTCTCTCTCTCTCTTTCTCTCTCTCTCATGTTTCTCCTGAGACCCCAAGCTTGGGAACCCAAAACCTTGTCTATTCCTCTGCTGTCCATTGACTGGCTGTAGGCATTTATTTATTTAACCAATAAGAGGTGGCTTGGAAGTAAATGTATGCATGCAGATTTTCTCATACCTGTGGGTAACCAGGTCTTGGGGCCAGTATTTAGCATTAAAATATAAACTAAAGGCCAAACTTCAATAGATAATAGTTCTCCACAATGAGTAAAAATAAAACTCGATTAATTGGTGGCTGAAGAGATAGAGCATTGATTAAGAAACCTTGTTAGTTTTGTAGAGAGCCTGCCTTTGGTTCTCACCACTGACATGGTGCTTCACAAAACCCATAATTGCAATTCTAAAGGATCTGATGCCCTCACATGACCTCTACAATCACTATGTACACATATAGTACACATACATACATGCAGGCAAAAATCCTTTACTCACATAAAATAACATGAATCTAGAAAAGAGAAACTCTCAATAAAGTTTCCTCATGCATGGTTAGCAGCTTATTATGATTTCACAAACACACATTGGGTGAAACTAGTGTGCAGGTGATATTGCATAGTGAAAACCCAGTAAATAATATTTGATGGACATAATATAAAAGTTGATTTTTCTATATGTATGTTATATTAATGATTATTTATATTATATTATTTTAATATTACATTAGATGTTAATGGAAAAAAGTATGCCCATGCAGAAACAGCCTTAAACTTTTTTTTTTTTTTTTGCATGGACAGATGAACCTTTATTTAAAAAAATAGCACTTCAAATAAATTAAAAGGGACAACCGTCAAGTGTTCAAATTGTGAAGAAATATCTGAAAACCTAGAGAGACTCCAAACTGCAGTCTTTTAACCTCATTCTTTGTCTGATGGCCAAACTCTCGCATCTCAGAACTCCCACTGCTTCTCCTACTGAGGTGAGGGAAGCATTCCCAAGTGGGAGAGCAGATGGAGGAGAAAGCTGCATCTGACCGGAATGAACATTGCCACGTACTCGCTAATACGGGTTTCACTTTATGACCAAATGTATTCTTTCAAAAATAAAAAAGGGATGAGGGAAGCTGCATGTTTTTAGAAACTGAGATTATTCAGGGCTAGCACACTAACTCTAGTGCCTTTAATGGCAGTAGCAACTTTTTCCTCCGAAGTCAAACGCCATCCCCAGCCGAGCCTTGTGCTACCAGCTTTTCAGGAGATGTTACCTAAACTTTATTAAAAGAAAAGAGCAAGTTTAAATATAGACACTGGACTAGCCCAGTCTGTATTTTCAAGTCCACATTCTTCATCTGAAGCACTGTGTCAGGGAACCCCGAGTCTGCATGTTTGCAAGTTCACAGTACATGGAACCAGTTTTTTCTTTTTAACTTTTTCCTCACTCAGAGCAGCCACCCACGGGTGACCGTTGACGCTGGAACCTCGGGCGGGGCCTTTTCCTATGAGGCCTGGCCAGAGCTGCCCAAGGCTTCTCTTCAATGAGAATTGATGCTGTCATGCTCTATGGATGGGAAAAAAAGCAAGAAAATAAAAGCACCTGGTACAGGTTTCATGAGATCCATTCGGATTCACTATGTTCCAAACCCACTGCTGAATGCCATGTGTCCACTTTGTGTGCTGAACAGTTTTGTGGCCTTGGGAGTTGGTCTCAATTCGAAGAACTGTTATTGGATGCCCCAGAGGTTGACGCAGTAGCAGCTCCTGCAGGACTACTTGTGGAGACTGACTTTCGGATGTGAGGCAACAAGTAGGGGTCACAGGCCAGCTGCTGCACATCAATACGGTCTTCCTTTCGATAGGCCAAACATTGCCTGATAAATGCCTTTGCTTCAGGTGTTACTACTGGCTTTGGCGGGAACTGGACTTCAGTAGCTTTAAGAATAGTATTCTCTTGTAGAATATCTTGCTGGGACTGGTTATGGCCAAAAGGCTTCCTCCCATAAAGACACTGGTAGAAGATCACACCCACTGACCAGACATCGACTTTATTTGAGATCTTTGGTGGCTCTTTCCCAACCACAAAACACTCTGGTGGTAAATACCAATAAGTACCAGCACCTTGTGATGTTAGCTCCATGCCATCCACTGAATTGTAGCTATCATCATCCATGATCTTGGAAAGACCAAAATCTGTAATTTTTATCTCTCCACATGCGGTACCATTTACTAAAAGGATATTACCTGGTTTGAGGTCATAGTGTATGATGGGAGGTTTTATTTCATTTAAGTACTTTAAAGCGTTCACAATCTGCATAATAATGGACCGGGCTTCCTTCTCCGACATTAATTTGTGCTGTTTTAGGTAGAAGTCCAGATCGTTTCCTTCACAGTATTCTAATACTGTACAAAACGAATCAGTGTCCAGTGAAAAGTAATCATACAGCTTTACTATTCGGGGATGGTCCAGTTCTTTGTGAATCCGGTATTCCCTACACGCATGCTTGTGGTAATTCTCCTTTTTCTCATCTCTCCAGTTTTTATTTAACTGGTGAATTTTCACAGCTACATATCTTTGTTCCGTTAGATCAAATGCCTTGTAAACTTCACTGAAACCTCCTCTACCCAAAAGATGTAACAACAAATATCTGTCATTTAGTGTTGGATGGTCTTTAAACTGTGAATTATCTTCATTATGTATCCTTTTTAATTCCCTGATATGTAGATTCCTAACCCTTTCTAGCCTTTCCAGCTCTGCCTGGATTTCTGCTTCCTCTTTCTTAAGATGACCTAATCTAAGTTTGAAGATTTCCTCTTGTTCATGGTATTCCGCTAAGGTTAACGTTTCATTTTCAGCTCCATTGGTCTTGCTTTTCCGTTGTTTCTGCTCATTGGTTGCGGGAGGGGCCTGACCCATGGCAGGGGGTTTCCGCTTTGCTAACATTTTCCGTTGCCTTTCTATTTCTTCTCTCTGTGAATTTATCCTTTCCTGTTGCTTGATGAGGTTTTGGAAAGCATAGCCATCTGTCCACTGCTCCGTAAAAGAGGCTCCATGCCGGACAGTAGTGAAGTGACCTAACCGCAATCGGTCCTGCATGCTCTTATCTCTACATGCCATCTTCTCTTGTTTTGACTTCTCTATGAGGAGCTTCTTGCTCATGGTGACACACCTATTTAACCGCTCCTTGTATTTCTCTAGCATCTTTTGCTGCTCATCTATCTGTCGTCTCAAATCACAGTTGGCTCTTAATAAATCATCTATTCTTCCTTCCTTCTTCTCTAAGTCAGAGTTCTTATTGTTTTCTAGTGCAGATATTTTTTCTATTGTGAGGTCAGACTGGGTCTGTCTGTGCTGGATGGAGATCTGTTTTTGGGAGCTGCAAGAATGTTCTGTATTGCCAGAACCCGTAGAAGAAGGGCTGTTTTGTTGAGCAGAGACGAAAGTGAAGCAGAGGCCAGCTCCCCGTGGCGCTAACTGCTCCGTGTCAAGTCGAGGCTTTGCTAACATCACGGACATGAGGGTTGGCAGGGCAGACTGCTCTTCTGAGGCTTCCTTTGCAGCACTGCCATCTAAACCATACAGAGGCTGTTCTACTCGACGCTTACTAACGCCAACTCCAGTGAACCTGGCCTCCAGTAATTCCTGCCTTCGTGGGTCCAGGCTATGCAGTTCTTCCATCATTTCTGCCGCCGCTGCCTCTCCACGCTCCTCTCGGGAGGGGCCCCGACCCGACCCGGCTGCCGACCGCTCCGCTCTCCCCCTGGGCAGGCCCGGGGCGGAGCCGGGGCCTCTCCTGAGCGCCGCAACCCCCGCCCGGGCAGCCGCCGCCGGCGCCGGGCTCCACGAGAGGGCGGGAGGGGGAGGGGGGCCACGGAGGCCGCAGATCCCCGAGCTCGCGTACAGAGCCAGGCGGCTGACGCGGGCCCGGGCCCGAGCGGCCGCCGGGGGGCGCGGGGCCGGCCTCCTGGCGCCGGACAAAGGCCAAGGGAGGCGCAGAAGGGTCCGGGTCGGGCCCAGCCTTAAACTTTTATCAGAATTTATTCAAGATGATTAATCTAAGCAGTTTTAAATGACAGTTACTACAAATTTGAAATGGAAAGAATATTTCAAAGTAGTCACAGTGTATTAAAGATGACTCATTTACACTAGAATATTTTATGAGAGTTCTTTAATGATAATTTTCCACATTATAATGTTTTATATCACTTTTAAATTATTGATTTTATTCAGTGATTCATTATAGTCAACATTATATTTACAGGTTAAAAATGTAGTCTCTAGAGCAGTTTCCCTAGTTTTGATCACTGACTCTGCTGTTATATCTTTTGGCCTTGATTAGATACTAAACCTTTTGGTACTTCCATTTCTAAAAGAAATAAGTAAAATAAAATTTACTGTAAAATGTTATAATTTAGCTATATTTGGTTAATGTCTGTTAAGCACCCAGAATTATCAAAGACACACAGTAATAATACTAAAAGCATTTTCTTAAAGAAATGAGTGAATTCTTATTAAAAAAACAAAACCAAACAAAAAAATCATAATATTGATATGGGAGAAAGAGTGAAAAGGGAAAATCATCTCTCTGTGAAATAATCTCTGCTGGCATTTTCTTAATATCACTTTACAGTCATTTCTTTGAATATGTAAACAAATCATGAATCAGTCACTAAAAGAATAATTTGTAGGATATATTATGTTAAGTTTAATCAAAACTTTCATGGCCAATTCCATGTAGACTTCCTTGGCTCAGGTGCTGACTTACCAGTCAGAAGAACATGTAAGTGTCCTGTTTGCCTGCTGAACTGCTCTACTCACTATTCTTGGTTCCCAAAGACCCATTCCACTGCTACACTACCAGCATCTTCTCATGCCACTGCCTGCTCCACTGCCTGGTCCATATCTCTAACTTCAGTAGACTTCCTCTTCTCAGGTGCTGGCCACACCAGTCAGAAAAACAGGTGGAGACCATCCCAATCAAAAGAAAAGAAATCTCTTATTGCACAAAAGGCCAAGCTAGAAACCAAAAGTCTAGCACTCAACTTGACTCCCTACTAGATCAGACTTCATACCAGCTGCTAGAAACACAGGCAGAGAGAGAGAGAGAGAGAGAGAGAGAGAGAGAGAGAGAGAGAGAGAGAGAGAGA